GACATACTATTGAGGTGGTTTACTATTAATCTAGTCTATTGCTGAGATGTACATGTTTTATAGAGAGTACCTTACTTTACTATTACAGGTGCTCTAATGGAAGGGAAGTGGAGTACTAGTAGTAGACGTCTCATGTTGCTGTGCATTAAAGAACAAACATCTGCCCTCAATTCTTCGTAGGCACAGACGTACGCGCATCGCCCCGCCGAGCAACGCAATAAATTGCAAGGAGCCGTATCCATGTGAACATTTTTAATTCAGCCTCATCAATTCTCTGATTACTGAATTCTCTGGACTAATTTCAACCTGGCCGTGTCATGATTTTAAAAAGATGCAGGCCGCCACTTCAAGGTAGAGATTCTTTTAAAAAAATCGAGTCCTTCGTTTTTGCAGAAATACTTCCCTGCTATCAACTAGCTGCACAAGAGGGAAAGAAAAAGAAATTCCTTAAACATTGAACACTGCGCCTAAAAAACTAAAGCCAAAACCAAAATTTATATTTTGAAACTGAATTTTTAGGTTGATTTTAAGATATTCGACGTACTTTTTCTATCACTACATTAGATCACAAATATAAAAATTTTACACATAAATTATTTTTTAGTCCGTAATAAGCCATTAGGGCAACCAATGAGGCGCTGCATCTTTTCTGGCATGTGACTGAAACTTGTGGAATCATGGTTCATGGGCGACTGGACATTTTCTTATTTTTTATAAAATAATATATCTTCTTGTGTAAATAAAGAGAGATCCCAAAGTGTGTATTTGAAAATAAACTGTTTTTTGCATTCTTGGTTGCTTTACGCCTTCGCATGGTGTGGGAAAAAAAAACTGAAAAACCTAGATATTCTTGACTTCCAAAGCTCCCTACACTCCCAGGAGTCATAATTAATTCTTGTAATAGCTTTGCTTTAACCCTTATCTTTATACTCCACGATGATATAATAACATGAGCATGTGACTAGCTAGAGTTTGTAAACATAGGGTTAAGATGCTTTGGATTCTTTGTAATTATGCAGTAACTTTTTGCTAGTATATGTTTGAGAAATTTAAGCTGTAACTTGGAAGAAGCGTCCAAATGTATTTGGTGGCTCCATGGTAACCTTTTACATCAACTATACTTTATGTTTAGCCTCCCATGTACTCCCAGTAATTGATACTTTCCCGTTCAATTTTATAGTGTATACCTAGGTGTTAGCTTCAAGATATTTAAAAAAGGTGACTCCTTTTGTCTCAAATTACTAAGATTGGTAGTACATATGATCTGTCTAGTACTGAGGTTTATTATGACAATGTTTTCTTTTAATCTTAGTCACAAACAGATCTACTATATCTACTTTAAAGAAATCAAACAATTGTGACAGTAACAAAAATTTTAGAGGACAACAATTTTTTTTAAATTTGACAAATTAAAATTTAGGAGTTTTTTTTTTGCTTTCTTTTATTCAGCCTTGGCTTTGGATCACTAAAAATAGAAAATAAATATATAAAACAATTCTTACACTAAAAGTATTTAAGAGGTTATTACAGATAAAAAAAATGCAATAACAATTACTTAAGTGCTATAGTTTTGTCTTGTGCTAATTTGTTATTACAATGTACATATTATAATTAATGCATGCCTGGAAGTTATTTTTGTAGAATTAGATTATACACCAAAGACGCATGTGGCGAAAATAGATGATGTATTTTCATTTTAATAACCTTACTATAGATAAGGGTATAAATAAAAAGTGTACATCACAAGTTGATATAACTAAAACATATAAAATTATTTTCGAGAACAAGATGAATTAAAACTATTTTTTGGAAGCCAAAAGGTAGATAAAAATGTATATTAAAAGTAAGTTCATGCCAGAGAAGAGAGGTGAAGAAGGGTAGTAAAGATGCTGTATTTTCAAGTTAATTCCCATACAATAGATAAGGATATAAATACAAATTTTCTACATCACAAGTTGATATAATTAAAAACATATGACATTATTTTCTACAATATGGTGAACTAAAACTATCTCCCAGAAACCAAAAGCTTCATAAAAAAATCTATTATATACTAAAAGTCCATTAAACTTCCTAGAAATACTCTCAAGCCGCCACGTGACGTTCCTATAAATACTCCTAGACCGCCACATGGCACTGTTAAATCTCACCGTCGATTTTCATTTAAATTGGTGGACCCGATACTTTAGACCATTAGATTAGATATGTTATTTAAAAAAAAAGTAATACTTTCGCATCTATAATGTGGGCCGGACAAAGAAACAAAACGTAAGTTATCTTTATACGTACGTACATACATACGGAGAAGAAACAATGAATCTTATCTCCTCTTCAACGGAGGAAAAGAAAACATGCGTACCGACTTACGATAAAAGCGATTAATAAGTAAAAAAACATACGTAAAGCAGGTACGTAATGCCACTGAAAAACTTGATGCTCCATAAAATATGATATTATACTATTTTAAAATAAATTATATTACTCTATAAAGTTATACAAATATACATAGTTAAACTAGATCGTTTACAATATAAAAATAAAATATCCAATGAATACTCTTTAAACATCCTATCTATAAATTATTTTAAAATTATATATCTAATTTGTGATCCAGTCGGATCCTCTAATTAAATAAACTATTGATGTCTATGTTCATAAATACATCATTATACATGAGGTCAACATATAATAAATAATGTTATAATAATAATCAGAAAAATAATGAATTACCCATTAAACTATTACGGTCGACCGAATTACCCCCATAAACCCGAAAACCGGACATCTTTCACCCTCAACTATTAATACCGGACGAATTACGCCCCCCCCCCCAATGTGGAGTGGTTTTGGTCCTACGTGTCAATTTAGTTAGCATTTTCTTAAAAAATGGTAGGACCCATATATCATATCTCTTCCTCACCGCTTCATCATATCTCTCTTTCTTCTCTCTCCGCATATCAATCAGCAAGGCTAGAGGCGGCGAGCGGTGGAGACCGCTCCTCCTCAGCTGACTTGGCAGCCACATGCGCATTCCAATGGAGGCCGTCGTCTCCATCATTTCCGTTGCATATCGTTGTCGCATGACGAGAGTTACAGGTGCCGGAGGCGAGAACCTGCGCTGATCCTCAATGGCTAGGTTCTGCTACACCCCTGCCATCTAGAACTCGCCCAACAAATATGGCCGTAGCTCTGTCTACCATAGCATGTCGTCCCACCACGGTTTTTAATCGATCCCCATCACCAATGCCTCTCTTCTGATGAGATAACGAGGCGGATCAATCAAGCAAGCAAGCGTAGGGGAATAGACGAAAGAGGAGGAGAAGAGCAGCGGGGCGACAGCGTGCCTACCCAGCTGGCCCAGTAGCAATGGGAGGGAGAAGAGAGAGGCTGGGGAATGGGATTCAGGAAGAGAGGGAGAGAGAGAGGTGAGAGAGGAGAGGGGTTGAGAGGGTAGAGAGTGTCACATGTGGGCCCCACCTATTTTATTTTTTTTTAAATGCAGACTGGACTACCATGTAGGACCAAAACTACTCCAGGTTGAGGTTTTTTTTTTTTGGGGGGGGGGGGTAATTCATCTTTTATTAATAATTGAAGGTGAAAGATGTCTGGTTTCGGGTTTATGGGGTAATTCGGTCGACCGTAATAGTTAGGGGGTAACTTGTACTTTTCCTATTTCAAATAATTTTACATCATATTCTAGGTGTCAAATAACACTTGATGACTATATAATGCTAACTTAAAGCTCTATATGTAAAATAATTGAAAACAACACAATTTAGTTGTGTATTTTTAAGCAGATATGATTTAATTTTAATATGTCTGAGATTAAGATTCTCATATATTTTTTTTAATTTTTAGAACTATTTCAATAGTATATGATAAGTGGGCAAACCTAAATGTTACATAAATGTAAAAAATAATTATGAAAAAATATTTCAAGCAAGTGATCTTGCTATAATATAACCATTTAGTCTGTCATAGGATTTATGGTCATATATGTATGTTTTTCTCTTTGTCAAATAGTTTTGATAATAAATGAACAATCAAGTAACATGTGCAATAAACTACTCATAATATTTTTTTTATAGTTGAGGAATTCCAACTTATCAGACATAATTTGATGAATGTATGTCATGCACTCTATTGATGTGACTATGAATTATACTTCAATCAATTAGTTATTATAAATAAGTTTGGGAAAATAGATTCATTCTCTAAATTAATTAGTAAAGATATCTTATGTGATTATGAAGAATAGGCGTTGAAAAATACGAGATGCTAAATTATATATATTTGTCAAAATGTAACCAACAATATGATCCTTTGGAGATATTATCGTGGTAGTATTTTAAAAAACACTTTATTCAGGTAAGAAAATCACATATAGTACAAATAGAAGTAAAAAAAACTCCATTATTCCATTATTGTTTTATTATCGTGACACATGTTGTTCTCATAAATTCATGTCATTATCATAAATTTAGGGTTGTATGGTTTCATATAATATGTTATTAACTAAAACATGTTTAAAATAGAGTGAAGATCTATTTTGAAAATATAATCTACATGTAAACATTTATAATAAAAAAATTTAAGCAAACAGCCTATATGCGCGGGTTATCTTCCGTTATATATTAAAAGTGAGTGCATGACAGGGAAGAAGATAGGAGAAGGCGGAGGTGACGTGAGTGAGATGCCAAAAAGCCGGGCTCGGGAGAATAAAATCCTTGTTTGACCAGGCTTGGGAATTGGGATGCTGGGAGAAACAAAAATAATAATAAAAAATAAAAATAAAAACCATTTTTCGTAAAAGCCCCTCGAGAAACTAAATATTACAACCATTCTCCCGTCTTTCCCGGGAGGCTAATTGCCTTCGCAAGCAAACAAACCCAGCGCGGTTTTTGTTAATGGAGAAATTGAGGATTAAACTAATGCTGGTTGAGGTTCAGTATGCGTCTTCTGCAGTGAGCTGCTTCCTCTTCTCGTCTCCTACTTAAATACTAAAGTGTAGGTTTCGTCTCTGCTCTTCTGCTTTTGTACTAGTAGTAGTAGTAATCTGCTTCTCTCTTCTTCATCTTCTTCTCTTGTCTTCCCTTTTCTTCTAGTCTATCCTCGTTGGCTCAGTTCTTGGAGAGGTTTTTTGTTCGAGTTGTGTGAGAGAGAATTCGTCCATTCTTGATGAGGTTTTGGGTTCTTGGGCACTTCTTGTTCTAGCCAAGGTGAGAGGTTAAGGTTAATTCTTCTTTAGATGGAGCTTTTTGAAAATGTTTGGTTGTTTTGTTGGTGGTTTGTTTGGGTTTCTTGATGGTTTTGTGGCTTCTTTTGTTCTTGGAGAAATATGTAAGGGGTTGGGTTCTTTTGGATTTTATTTGGGGTACGAATAATTGAAGTTCGTTTCTGTGCTAATTTGGTTCGTGGGTTGTATCTATCAATTGTCTTGATTTTGAGGGATTAATGTGTAGTTTGTGCGAGGAATTTTGATTTTGGTTCAAACTGTTGTTGTTGGGCGCTTTCCCTTGCAAAGATTCCTTGTGTTTCTTCCTTTTGGGTGTTTTGAGTCGATTCATGCCGCGAATTTGGGTTGAATTTGTTTGCCACAATGACGCGGAAGTGAAATTTTGAATTGATTTTTGCAGAGAAATTGCGATTTGAATACGCTCCATCGATATGTGAAGCCATCCAAGAACTCGGTGGAAATCAAGAATTCAGAGGCCATCTCGAACGAGCTCACCATCTGCTTGCAAGAATCAGCGAGTGCGAAGTTGACGTAGACGACGAGAAGCCATGGCCGCCTCGCCGCCGTTCATGGCGGCCGCGGCGTTCCTTACGCTTGTGGTGGTGCTGTTTCGGGCGCCGGCTCCCGCCATTGCCGTCGGCGAGGAGGCGGCGGCGCTGCTGGCCTTCAGGCGCGCGTCCGTGGCGGACGACCCGGACGGCGCGCTGGCGAGCTGGGTGCTGGGCGCCGGCGGCGCCAACTCCACCGCGCCGTGCTCGTGGGACGGCGTGTCGTGCGCGCCGCCGCCCGACGGCCGCGTCGCCGCCGTCGACCTCAGCGGCATGAGCCTCGCCGGCGAGCTGCGGCTCGACGCGCTCCTCGCGCTCCCGGCGCTGCAGCGCCTCAATCTCCGCGGCAATGCCTTCTACGGCAACCTCTCGCACGCCGCGCCGTCGCCGCCGTGCGCGCTCGTGGAGGTGGACATCTCGTCGAACGCCTTGAACGGGACGCTGCCGCCGTCGTTCCTGGCGCCGTGCGGCGTGCTGCGGTCCGTGAACCTGTCGAGGAACGGCCTCGCCGGCGGCGGGTTCCCGTTCGCGCCGTCGCTGCGGTCGCTGGACCTGTCGCGCAACCGCCTCGCCGACGCCGGCCTGCTCAACTACTCCTTCGCCGGCTGCCACGGCGTCGGCTACCTCAACCTCTCCGCCAACCTCTTCGCCGGGCGGCTGCCGGAGCTCGCCGCGTGCAGCGCGGTGACCACGCTCGACGTGTCGTGGAACCACATGTCCGGCGGGCTCCCGCCGGGGCTCGTGGCCACCGCGCCGGCCAACCTGACGTACCTCAACATCGCCGGCAACAACTTCACCGGCGATGTCTCCGGCTACGACTTCGGCGGGTGCGCCAACCTCACGGTGCTCGACTGGTCCTACAATGGCCTAAGTAGCACCAGGTTGCCACCGGGGCTCATCAACTGCCGCCGCCTCGAGACGCTGGAGATGTCCGGGAACAAGCTCCTCTCTGGCGCGCTGCCGACATTCTTGGTCGGCTTCTCGTCGCTGAGGCGGCTGGCATTGGCCGGCAACGAGTTCACCGGAGCGATTCCGGTGGAGCTGGGGCAATTGTGTGGCAGAATTGTTGAGCTGGACTTATCCAGCAACCGGCTGGTTGGTGCCTTGCCGGCGAGCTTTGCAAAGTGCAAGTCTCTTGAGGTGCTCGACCTCGGTGGCAACCAGCTCGCCGGCGACTTTGTGGCCAGTGTCGTCAGCACCATCGCCTCGCTGCGTGAGCTGCGGCTGTCGTTCAACAACATCACCGGTGTAAACCCGCTGCCGGTGCTCGCAGCGGGGTGTCCATTGCTGGAGGTGATTGATCTTGGGTCCAATGAGCTCGATGGGGAGATAATGCCGGATCTTTGCTCGTCGTTGCCATCATTGCGGAAGCTGCTCCTTCCGAACAATTACCTCAATGGCACCGTGCCGCCTTCGCTTGGCGATTGCGCCAATCTGGAGTCCATTGATCTCAGCTTCAATCTGCTGGTTGGCAAGATCCCAACAGAGATAATCAGGCTTCCGAAGATCGTTGATCTGGTCATGTGGGCGAATGGCCTATCCGGTGAGATACCGGATGTTCTCTGCTCCAATGGCACCACATTGGAGACATTGGTGATAAGCTACAACAACTTCACCGGAAGCATTCCAAGATCCATTACAAAGTGTGTGAATCTCATCTGGGTGTCGCTTTCCGGTAACCGTCTTACCGGGAGCGTGCCCGGTGGATTCGGCAAGCTTCAGAAGCTTGCCATTCTGCAACTCAACAAGAATCTGCTATCTGGACATGTTCCAGCAGAGCTTGGCAGCTGCAACAACCTCATCTGGCTTGATCTCAACAGCAACAGCTTCACCGGGACGATACCGCCGCAGTTGGCAGGCCAGGCAGGGCTTGTTCCGGGAGGTATTGTGTCAGGAAAGCAGTTTGCATTTCTCCGGAATGAGGCTGGCAACATATGCCCTGGTGCCGGTGTTCTCTTTGAGTTCTTTGGCATCAGGCCAGAGCGGTTGGCTGAGTTCCCTGCAGTGCATCTGTGCCCATCCACAAGGATTTACACGGGCACGACGGTTTATACATTCACCAACAATGGGAGTATGATCTTCCTTGATCTCTCATACAATGGCCTCACCGGCACAATCCCAGGAAGTCTTGGAAACATGATGTATCTTCAGGTCCTTAACTTGGGGCACAATGAGCTCAATGGTACAATACCGGATGCATTTCAGAACCTCAAGTCGATCGGCGCACTCGATCTCTCAAACAATCAGCTCAGTGGTGGCATTCCTCCAGGCCTTGGTGGTTTGAATTTCCTTGCAGATTTTGATGTCTCCAACAACAACCTGACTGGTCCAATCCCTTCATCCGGGCAGCTCACCACGTTCCCGCCATCCCGGTACGACAACAACAATGGTCTCTGTGGCATCCCTTTGCCTCCTTGTGGCCACAATCCCCCATGGGGAGGTAGGCCACGCGGTTCGCCTGATGGGAAGAGGAAGGTGATTGGGGCGAGCATTCTTGTCGGGGTGGCACTCTCCGTGCTCATACTGCTCCTGCTGCTGGTCACTCTCTGCAAGCTCAGGATGAACCAGAAGACTGAAGAGGTGAGAACTGGGTATGTTGAGAGCCTTCCAACATCTGGAACATCGAGTTGGAAGCTGTCGGGTGTCCGTGAGCCGCTAAGCATCAATGTGGCGACATTCGAGAAGCCGCTGAGGAAGCTCACATTTGCACACCTCCTTGAGGCCACCAATGGATTCAGTGCTGAGACTCTCATTGGATCAGGGGGATTTGGTGAGGTATACAAGGCCAAGCTCAAGGATGGCAGTGTTGTGGCCATCAAGAAACTGATTCACTTCACTGGCCAAGGTGACCGGGAATTCACTGCAGAGATGGAGACCATTGGAAAGATCAAGCACCGCAACCTTGTCCCATTGCTTGGATATTGCAAGATTGGTGATGAGAGGCTCCTTGTCTACGAGTACATGAAACACGGCAGCCTGGATGTTGTGCTCCATGACAAGGCCAAGGCTAGTGTGAAGCTTGACTGGTCAGCAAGAAAGAAAATTGCAATTGGTTCAGCCAGGGGCCTCGCATTCCTCCACCACAGCTGCATCCCACACATCATACACCGGGACATGAAGTCGAGCAATGTGCTTCTTGACAACAACCTCGATGCCCGTGTATCGGATTTCGGGATGGCAAGGCTGATGAATGCGCTTGATACGCATCTGAGTGTGAGCACACTTGCAGGTACACCTGGGTATGTGCCACCTGAGTACTACCAAAGCTTCAGGTGCACGACCAAAGGCGACGTCTACAGCTATGGTGTTGTGCTCTTGGAGCTCCTCTCAGGTAAGAAGCCAATTGATCCGACTGAGTTTGGAGACAACAACCTTGTTGGTTGGGTGAAGCAGATGGTTAAAGAGAACAGAAGCAGTGAGATCTTTGATCCTACATTGACTGATAGAAAATCAGGGGAAGCAGAGCTCTATCAGTACCTGAAGATTGCATGCGAGTGCTTGGATGATCGACCCAACCGAAGGCCAACCATGATTCAGGTCATGGCAATGTTCAAAGAGCTGCAGCTTGACTCGGACAGTGATATCCTCGATGGCTTTTCGATCAATTCGTCAACTATAGATGAGTCAGGAGAGAAATCAATGTAATGCTGTCTAGTTCTTGCAGATTTTGATTATCCGAAGTGGTAAAATATCAGACTAGCTCAACCATTTTGGCTCCATGGTAGAAAAAAAGGTAGTATCCTCCAATTCAGTAGGAAAAGTTGTAATTTTGGTTCAAATCACTGTACATAATACATCAAAGTATGAAGGAGAACACGGTGGTAGGATTTAATTTCAGAAAAAAAAGGCAGTTCTCTTTACCTGGAGAGACTAGTATGTACCAATCAAATTTCTTGCTTTTGAGCATCAATATTGTCAAGAATGTAATACATATTAGCTTTCCTTACACTTGCATGTGTTTTGACTTTGTGAAAATTGAGCTTCTTGTATCTGTCAGTTTCTGGTTGATATCTTGCAGAAAAGAACTGGACAAAAGAGAATTTCTGATGTTTAATCTTCTGGCAAGTCCCTTTCCCCTTTTTGTATTGCACAGTTGACTAAAACTGCAATTGTATTTATTATTTCCCAGCATGGCTATGTTTGTTTGACCAAACTGTAAAAGATGTTGCCGATGTTGCCAGTTACCACATCATATTTGCTTAGGGGTGTTAGACAATGGCTTAGGGGTGTAAGACAATGTGTGAAAAAAAATCCAGCCACTGGATTTTGTGGGCAGTCAGTACCTGAATCATGTTGATAGTACAGGGGTTTTCCTTGTCTGCTTCTTGAATGATTGCTGTCATGACAAAACTGTACAGCATAAAGAAGTTTTCAGTTCTGCTGACACTGTCTGAAATGGATCTTGTGGACATGGCAGTACACTTTCCCAACAGGTAGTTATGGACAAACTGAGCAGCACAAAGATAATGCATGGATTATGTACTCTTTTTCTTTTTTCTTCTTTTAGAAAAATGAGAAGATTACATGAATTTTGCTCTCATTCTGTGTTTGTGATAATATTACCAGCTTGGGAGATCAGTTCTGTTTTTGAAACTTTAGTAGATGCTACATATATATACTTGCAACTTGCTATTCTTTTAAAGTCAGGTAAGAAGATTTTTTTACTCTTGCCTTTTTATGCTGTGAGTGTGATGGAAATGTAGTTTATACTGTCAACATGGTCATACCTGCTGAAGTTTGGAAGCATCTGTGTGCCCAAAAAGAAAAGGAAAGGTGCATCTTTCATTCATTCATACCTGAAGCACTCCCTCTTTTTCCACCCAGGAACATTCGCTTTTCTGCTGTCAAAAGTGGTGCAATTTCGGTTGGATTTATACTCTTTCTGACTTTGAAAAATACTCATGTTGCTCACTGACTACCTCTGATTGTAGATTAGGACCAAATGGTACTACTGTCTTGATAAACTTATATTATCTTTGATGTGGTCGTGCCGTTTTCGAGTGTATAACTTTATCCATCAGGGTTTAAATACTGGCGAGCGTAATTAAATGCATTAGAAATTATTACTTTCATTATTAAAATTAAGCTAGTATTTTTTTCCCAGTAATCATTATTTTTCTTTGCCTGACTAATTAATTTTCCAAGAGAGATTAGATGAGCAAGCAAGGTACCAACGCTATCACATCATCACAAATATTTTCAAAAGGATTTGGTAATTAGGTAGCTGACCTGCACAGCAGGATAAGAAGATGTTGCACGCGTGCGTACGCCCGCACGTGTGCATGCCGCTGCCGTTGGATTCTAAAATTAGGGCTCCGTTTCTGCTGATTTGTACAGGATTAGGCAGGAGGATTACGACTTTAGGGACAACGACTACCCTTTAGTTTTCATCTTCTTTGGGGGTCCCCTGTATATATATATGGGTTCAGATCCTTTGTGGTTATGGTCTTGTGTTGTGTATCCGCATAATTTCGATGAGGTAAAATTGTCTACTAGACATTCTAGATTTATTTTAGATAATGGACATCATCCTGGCCTCTACACTCCAACCGGACACTGTGGTATTGTGAGGGATGTCACAGTGAGAGTCATTACGATCCGATGTTATTTTGACGGATCATAGTATTGTTGGTTAAACGCCATTTTTTTTTAGATCCGCAATGTCTAGTAGTCAATTTTTTTTGTCTACCAACGATAGCACTGTTGATATAGTTGTAGGTATATGGCTCTACATGGTATCTATATTCACGCACATAATTATTATTCTAAAAGGAATTTAGTGAGGTTCTTCGATTTATTGATGCCTCAATCTCTTAACCATGTGTTAATAGGAACACTCACAGGTGTGTCAGTGCGGTTTACATGTGTGGTGCTGTAGGTACATTTTCCATGTAGTTGAATTATTTTGCGTAGTGTTGGGAAAAATATATAGAGGCTATTTATGTTTTGTCGGCAAAAATGAGCAGTAATGGTCGGCAAAAAATACAGCAAGATGCTAATGCGGTGCTTACTCTGGCACAAACAATTCCCCTTAATAATGGTCCCTTGGATTGGCGTCCCGTTTGCACTTTTGATGTCATCAACTCTTTGCATCTCACAAAGGGGATCTCTTTGCACACTACCCCTTAATTTTGGTGGCTGTGTGGAAAAGGTAGAGCTAATCACCTAATTAGATGACCTGGTTGTTGTTGTTGCAAAAATGGTCAAACATAATTTGCGTGTTCCTTTGGGTTTTGGATCTTTTTTAGCTGAGAGATCAGAGATGGAGAAATTTTTGTAGTTAGGTAGAAGTATGATGTATATTTTTTTTCAGAAACAAAGACAACTTCAGATAGTGATATAGGAATCTTATCTTATTAACATGAAGTAAAACTGTTTAGTAAAAGTAGAGGTCATATGTGTTCAACAACAACAAAAAAAGATCAATGAAAATGAAATAATAAGATAAATTTGAACTCCACCCTGATGCTGAACTAGCAATGTTTATGTGATTGTCCATTCATTTCTTCATAGGATGCTTGAAACCATCATGATGAACAGTTGATTAAAAAAAAATAATTATGTGTATTTACATGGTAGACAAAGAGGAGTGCCATGGAAGGGGAATGAATTATTGCTACACAAGGAGTGGCTCAACTGGTGCCAATGACTGCTGCTCTGCAGCCTGGCAATCCCATCTGTAGACAGCTACAGGTGCCAGTATAATCATCTTGCAGGCCAGGAGTATATATACATATACTACTACAGGTATATATACAAATGTCACAGCCTTTTTCCCCTACATAGTGGCTACAGGTATACCAAATAAAGGACTCAACATTGTTTATTTATAAACAAAGGGGAGAGAGGAAGAAAGAGTTTAGCCTTCAAAGCTCCATCGTTTGCTTGTGGACTCCACAATTAAAATTCGAATTTTCAAACTTGACTTTCATGTTTTTTATCGTAGTTTATTTTTCAGGCTTTAAATCTCTAGGAATACGCATATATAAAAGTTTTACTCATAAATTATTTTTAGTTGCTTCATTTATTATTCCAGCAAACAATGGGACACAATTCACCTTAAATCCTTAAATTGTATATTGTGAAGTCTTAACTGATCTCTAGTCTAATCTTCTTTTCCTCTTGTGCTATCACATTCGTACTTGCTGACAAGCTATGTGTATCAGGTATTGATGTACTGAAGAACTGATAAGACCAAACAGGCTGGTAGGTCATCAACTGCAAAAATTGTCTGTTCCTCACAAAGAAAGGAAGTGCAGGCAGTGGCTTTCTACTTCTTCTGCAGAAGAAAGCTAAGAGAGGCTTGACACCAAAAAGCAGCTCTGTACAAGAGTCAAGAAGCATGGGCACACACATCTTTAGATCTCACTACCACCATGGCAGGCACTGTCATCCTATCAATGAGGTTTGCCAAATATCAGCAAGGCTGCAGACTGACAAGCATAGTCAGCAATAAATCAGTGCCAATTGGCTAATTGTCATACCTTCTCATGATCTCATCTAAGCAGTGGTTGCAATATGCATTTTTAGATAATGAGAATGTATTACATCTCCGGCCTCTGCCATAAGGCACACAGCCAACGAGGTTGCAAATACGGATGGACTGAAGAAAGTTCAATATACATGCCAGATGATGACAAAGGAACACATTATATTTGTTAATGGAGTTCAGCTGAAACATACGTCTTCGGCCTTGATTATATTATGTGCACAGTTCAATTACTGTCTTACTTGAGCCAAGAGCAAGAGATGGCTTGATTTGGATCCAATGGTGCTTGATAATACACATATAACATACTTCCTCTGTTTTACAATGTAAGTCATTCTAGCATTTCCTATATTCATATTGATGTTAATGAATCTAGACATATGAATGTGAGAATAATATATATCTAGATTCATTAACATCAATATGAATGTGAGAAATGCTAAAATGACTTACATTGTGAAACAGAGGGAGTACAAGCCTGTTGATTCTGAAAATAACAGTAAAGGCATCAGATAGAAATGGACCAAACCACCACAAAATTATGAAAAATATGTGTTGATGCATACAAGTCTGACTGGCTTCTTGACAAGGTTACAATAATCACAAATGACATGATCACGCACGCTCTTCAGGGTATAAACCAAAGTGTGAATCAACATGGGATTTACAGATGATGCAATTTTGACAGTACTGTACAGAAACGGGCAATTAGTTCAGAGAGACATAACCATCTTGGATCTTAACATGACAGTCAACCAACTAGACTCGATTTCTTGCAAGGTGCAACGTTGTCAAGAATGATAGCTGCTAACCCATTGCGTATTTCTGGGTCCAGGCCCTCGCCGTCTCCTCATAACGTGGCCTCTGGCTCTTGTAGACGTGGGCGATCTCTGGGACAAGGGGATCATCTGGGTTGGGGTCAGTGAGAAGAGAGCTGATGGATAGGAGGACCTTTGATATGGTCAATGCTGGGCTCCACTGCTCCTTGAGGATGTCAAGGCAAATGCTTCCATTGGAGTTGATGTTTGGGTGATACACCTGCATCGTCAGTGAAACGATTCATCATTTATGGCATTAGTGGAGAAAAATGACAAATATCACTAACTTCAGAATAATTTATCAAATCATCTAGGCTTTTACGCCAGCGTCATAACAATCTAGTAACTAGCTAGGTGAATTAATACAATGTGTCTTGCTTGAATCTTTCCTGATATTTAGAATAGGATAGCAATACAACTGTTCTTTTCTGATATATCGGAAAGATTACTGCAAACTGTTAGCACATATTGTTATCAATTCTTTGTTCAACTCATTCCTTGAAGAGATTATGATAGTGGGGCCACACTCTAGGGAACCAACATGATTTCAGTTACATCTGGGAATGGCAGTGAATCATTGCTGAGCGCAGACAGATTGGAACTATCAAATATAAACTCCATATTGTCCATTCCAATTTGTGAAGAAGCTATATAGCCTTACTGGTTACAATTTTTGATGATTTTAATTTGGGACTCACCTGGAGAAACATCGCTACATGGCATTTCCGAAGCATGTAACAAAGCATGCAATTGAATGAGAATTTCAGTCTGCAACAGCCTTTGCCCAAGTAATTTGTCAGAAGTGCAATACTACCAGCTCAAGCTTAGAGTCGCATTATAGTTAGGCAGAGCATTTTTCTTATGTTTTTCCCCTGCTTTTCCCCTGTTTTCTGTTTTGTCAACCTTATACTTATTTTCCTAACCCCATTATCTTAATGAAATTATGCAAGGGATCTCCTGCTATCTGGGACACAAAGTGATAATCACAGTAGCAATGTGACAGTAAGAACTGCAAATAATGATTATAAACAGTCAGTATGATTTTAACTATGAAAACAATGATGCTACGGAGAGGCATAAATTTTAGCCAATTTGTGGTGAACTGTGCTTTAGAATTTACACCAGTACATAACTTTTTACTGATATTGACTGATTTATAAATTCTCCTATTCATCTTGAATTTCCAAAGACCGCACTCTACCTTATCTAGTACATATCAATAATAAGGTTAAGAGTAACAATTTAATATAATCAAGAAGTTAAAAAAACAAGAAAGAGAGACAGGTAAAACAAACAACTCACCTTTGTTTGGAAGTTCACTTTTGGAGGCTTAAAAGGGTAGTCAGGGGGGAAATGGATGTTAACAAAGAACACCCCACCAGCGTAGGGGCTGTCGCTAGGGCCCATGATTGTGGCCTGCCAATGGAATAAATCCTCTCCTGCAGGCCCAGCACTGCATGATGTTGGTGGATCCTTCCGCAAATCCATGAGTTCCTTCTGAATCCTTTTGCTTGCCATATCTGGGTAAGTGGAACACAGAATATAATGATTAAGGCAATAATGCACACCAATATGAATATATTGCACCTTCTTTCAGCTTGAATTTGATAAGATGGATCTCCTCATACAAAATTTTCAGAAGTACTGAATTATAGTTTCAGAATCTGGATATGACTACTAAGTAATTACTACAGTCTATGTACTCAAGAGAAATTCCTTGTTGTCTGCATAGCATGGGTCTCAACTCTCACTAAAAGTTTGTAGGAGTTCACTCAATTTTTGTATGCCACTTTATTCTTTTTGTCGCTTAATATTAATAAACAGATCACAATGCCATATTATATAAGATGACACAAACAACAGACTACAACCAGATGGAATAGTCAAGTGAAGCACAAGCTGATTACTTCAGTATCCAAGTAGGTTGCATCCATAGTGCTATCATCATACAGCTTAGCAAAACAATTTCTTGATTAAGGTTATCAAAACACAGAGTTATAATTAACTTACTCAGATTACAAACTACACTGATATAGGTTAAGTAAAATTTTCAAATCATTGACATATTTGTGTTGATTGACATTCTTCAGTAAAACGCCCACCGGCGTCCCACAACCTGTCTGTTTCACCAAGAAACCAAAACCACCAACTTGCCTAAAATTAAAATCACCTTCCCTCCTTTCCCCAAGTAGCAAATCCAATTTCACATTTCCTGTTTAAGAATCTACTCGATTGTGACAGATCACTGGTCAGAGCAAGGCCCTACAGCTCAAACACCAAACTCATCTGAAATTTCAGCAGAAGGAATGCGCAATTAATTCTTTCTCCTCGTTCATCCCCAAGTCAACCCCGACCCCAAGATGACCAAATCTTTCTAATCTTGCGATGGCTACACAACCCCAAGTAATCTTAAGCAAACAAGCTACTTCTATTCAATCATGGCGTGCGTCGCCAAGAACTCAACCAACGTTCAAAACGAAGAAAAAAAAAGAGAACTAAACAGAACAAGAACTAGTACACTTTGAATGGACCAGGAAAGATTTGGAAAGAAACTGAAGATTACCTGCAGACTAGAGAGCTCAGATTAGATGTATCCTCAATCGGGTGAAGAGATTTGGAAGGAATCGGCTGCGGCGACGATCGATGGAGCGTGGGGGATTACGGGATGGGGGCTTAATCGTGGGCTTGTAGGCCTGAGAGACCCTGGATCGAGTCTTCGCTTGTGTGCAGTTGGCCAACTGGTAATTCTTTTTTCCTTTTTTTTCTAGTGGAATTGCACTTTGCGCCCCTTTTCTCACCTTAATTGCATATTGGACCAGGGTCTGCTAAACTTTGCACTTAATTTCTGTTGTTAGATCAAATCAATCAAGAGAAATTTGTTGCCATTGCCCATTTTACATTTTTCCCCTCCAAATCGATATTACTGTAGTAACATATACTCAGGCCTTGTTTAGTTCGCGGAAAGAAAATTTTTATGTTACATCGGATGTTTGACCGGATATTGGAAGGGGTTTTCGAATACGAATGAACAAACTAATTTCATAACTTGCATGGAAACCGTGAGACGAATTTATTAAGCGTAATTAATCCATCATTAGCACATGTGTGTTACTGTAGCACTTATGGCTAATGATGAACTTATTAGTTTTTCATTTTATTTATATTTAATACTATATAGATATGTCTAAGATGTTTGATGTGACGTTTTTGGAAAAAAAAATTTAGGACCTAAACAAGGGCCTCAATGTTGGTTCAAAACCAGCAGCAAGGACCAGTTATGAATCTTTGACATCCTCTCAGGGTCGATGCTATCTTCGTAACATTGTATATTTAACTTTTTATCTTTAAAACATTGTCATCGCAGTGATGGGTACTCATCGCTGGTTCAAAACCCAGTATTAAAACCAGTTATAAATCGTCAGCAATTGTTGGTTCAATACCGGCCGATAACTCATCTTCCATAGATTTGGACTGAAATGTCTGAAATCCAGAGAATTTCATCCATTTTAGTGAGGTCCGAGACAAAATTTAAATCCCATTTTGTAAATTTTGGTCAAATTTCATTTGGAATTTCCAATTTTTGTCCATTTCAGCGGAGCCGAAATTTTTACGCAATCCCATCACAGAACTTTGCCAACGGCAACGCATTGCGCATGACGCAAACTGGCAGAGTAGGTGTAGTCATGAGGACGAATAGAAATTAACGCAGCAGCAGCTAATCCGATTTTAAATACCATATTTAGCCATTTTGTGATTTTTAACATACAAGAGTCGAATGAGGAACGAAGCAAAACTGATCAAATATTAATATGCATATTCAATAGGAAACTCACAAGATAATTTTTATTACTGACAATAAGTACCATAATATAGAGTGATATGGCTATGTATAAATGAAGCTATTTTCTACTACTTAAAAAAACAAGACTTACAAAGATTTAAATGACTTAAATGCACTACATGTCTTCAGTGGCAGAGCTTAGTGGAGGCCATCCTAGGTGGTCCCCACCATAGCCATGAACTGTATATAGGGAGCATGCATATGCTCTCAATCTCTCATCTTGGATAGTTGTAGTGTGTTGGCTTAGTTGTTATTGCTTTTTTTTATAGTGTCGCGGGTTCGATACCAGCATCACAGTTATTTTTCTATTTTTCTTATTTTTTCTGTTTCTCAGCACATTTCTATTTTTCTTGCTTTTTCAGTTCCTCAGCTCATTCCAGCATAATTGTTTTCTTTTTTTTCCCAGTTCTCAAGTCTTATACTTCCTCTGTTTCACAATGTAAGTCATTCTAGCATTTCTCACATTTATATTGATGTTAATGAATCTAGATAGATATATATGTCTATATTCATTAACATCAATATGAATATGAGAAATGCTAGAATGACTTACATTGTGAAACGGAGGGAGTAGAATATAATGGTTACTCCATTCCAGCTAAGGTTATTTCTTTCGGTTTAATAGTTTTTGCTAACACTATGCTTAGAATTCATTCCAATCGAAATAATAGTGGTTCTATTCCAACTGACACTGTTTTCTTTAATTTTATACTCCCTCCGTCCCTAAATATAAGAGATTTTGGTTGGATGTGATGTATTTTTAGTACAACGAATCTGGATATCAAACCTAGGATGTATCACATCCAACCAAAATCCCTTATATTTAGGGACGAAGGTAGTAGCTTGTGATGAATTTTATGAAAGTATTTTTCTTTTATTCTTGCACCGATATGTTTTGAAATATTTTGTCATAGCTATTTGTGTCTTCTGCTCCAATTTGTTTTAAATATTGTGTACTTGGAAATATGTGTCCGCTATGGTCATTTTTATAAGAAAACCAGGATTTTGTGCTCTCTAACACTACTTTCATGCTCAATCAATCATCTAACATAATTGATACAGTATATTTATTTTCTTTCTTTCTTGTTTTGAAAGAGTTGTAGTTGGCCCCTGCTACATTTTAGGTCAAGCTCTGTCAATGCTGCCTTCCGCAATGAAAGAAAATATCAATGCTCTAATATTATGATTCTCTAAATTCCTTTACATGACCTTAGAGCAAGTATAATAGTATAGCTAACTATGGATATTAGCACGTATTAGAGTTAATATATATAATAGGTTAACTATATGGTTGTCTATATTTTTTCTCTTCTCTTTCTTTCTCTATGAATTTAATGTAAATATCTTGGAGCATATGTAGAGCTAGCTATTGAATGATAGTCAGTGCTCCTCACTTTTCTGTCTCTTTTATACACAAATTTATAGTTGGTTTATAGCGCATTATTATCCATGCCCTTATAGAACCCTATACTAGTGGATCACAGGAGGTTCATCATTTTCCTTAAAATATGTTGTTGTGGTACAAAGCTTTTACTTCACAAGAATATATACGATTTAGGATTGTTCATGGAAGATGTGTATATAAAACTTGTCGTGCACTTTTTTTTCCACGCAATCTCAATGTTCTCTAGCCCTTCAATATTATATATTATCAATTCGCTTTTTTAAAATTTAAGTTGGCAATATAATGAGAATGGGTGGCTCTAGGAAGAACTTGAGCTCCATCCAAGTCATCAGCTGCACCTAGTATGATGTTCAATCTTGTGACTGAATTCTTGGATGCACCACACCTTATTACTTTGTTTTATTTAGTGGCCACAATGTGCTAGAAACCAATATAAGGCTTAGATTTGTCTACTTAAGAATAAATATGTTTATGCATAATTTGTCTCCTATGATGTGTCGCACAGATAAGCATGATTTTTGTTGTCATAATATTCAGAGATATATATAGGCTAGTTCCAGTATTGTAGATGCAAGTTCCCTCCGTTCTTCAATCTCCACAAGTTTAGTTCTTCTAAGTGTTCTTTTTATTCTGATTTAGTTGAAATCCTGCTCTTGTTTAAGAGAAATGTTTCAGTGCAACTGTGCAAGTGTGTAAGAAACTTAATTCTGTCCTTCATTTCTTGTTCATCCAAAAAGAGGCTTTTGATTATGGGCATGATAGGCCCATGTACTGTGTAATACCATCGGGGTTGTCAACAAGTTGAGCTCGAGCAAGCTGGTCTACATATGCTCAAGCTCGAAGCGAACTCGAACGATAACATCAGGGATTAAGCATGTCAAAAAAAAACACAAAATGAAAATTAAAATTGAACCGATGAATAATGCTCACAATGATCACAACATGATGCCTCAATGAAAAAACTCAGTAAGAGAATTAGTGCTCTAAGTCTCTAACTTGGCTTGTCTAATCTCATGAGCTCTGAAGCAGGTATTGAGCTCGGCTTGATTGCCAGCCAAACCGAGCTCGAGTAGCCACTCTTCTTACAGCCCTAAATGCTACATTATAATAGAGGTCCCATGTGATCCATCATGTAGTTTTGGTGGACTAGTTTCACATTAGCAGTTTAACCCTTTTACATGAAAAATAGTAAAATTTTAAGTGATATGTTATGCATATGTGGACTGTTCCATTGAAAAGGAGGATAATTTGGATTTTGAAACTCGGATGTGACTCCATGGTTTTTTAGCAACAATAATATTGCAACATAAACAAGTTAATTAATAATTACGACTGTCATTCTAGTGCCCAGAGCCCATGGCATGCAGTGTAGTAACTTGTAATAACACCCTACTGCACCCTGTCCATAGCAACGCCTATCCCTCTTAACTAATGACATATAGACATAATAATAAAAGCAATAAAAGCAATATTTACACTGCATAGTGTCTCCTATTTATATATAGACATAATAATAAAAGCAATATTTACAGTACATAGTGTCTATTAGTGTGTCCAATAGTAAATAAAAGCAGCTGGTTGGTAGCTTGATAATTTGGAAAAACTGGATTTCCCGGCTTCTAACTTCTAGTTTATTTTCTAGATTCTATAAGTACAGCTTCTCAGAATCTAGACCAAAAGCTGGATTGTTTGGGCGAGCTTCTAATTCTGGGAGAAGCAACAACAGCTAGAAGCTCCCCCAAACAGCCCCCCTATGTCCTATGACTTCGTCTTGCTCTCATAATTGCATTTTCTTGTTGGAAATTATCTTAAAGATTATTCTTCTCCATAATGCATGTTTTATGAATGTTTAACTTGTTGGTTTTATACCACAACAATGTCTCCTGCAAGACAATGCTTTTTCATCTGTCCTTGTTAATTAAGCGTGTCGCAATATTAGATCCTACGTGGCATATCAAATAATTTGTGTGGACACTAGTTTACGTGGACCATAGGGAGTCACTATATAAGTGTGAACTATTTTCTATATTAATGGCTACATAAGTATGCATTTATTTTTTCTTGGTAGGTGTGTATCTTATATGTTAGCTAGCACAATTGGAGGTGATGGGCATAGTTAACGCAAATTTACATATTTTAACTCCCTTAATTTCTCACGGGATCATTGTCATATAAGGATATAGGTAACACAATGTTGGGATTGAACCAACAATCACATCGTGCAAAATGTTGATTCACCATCCAACAAACAAAATCCATACAATCAGCGCCTCATCTTTCGATAAACATTAAGGATAGTTTCAACTAGCAAAACAATAGTGAAACAACGATGATTACATGCACACTAATTTATGTCTGAAAACTTCCTCGTTGTGAGGAGTAAAAAATTATGGGACTAACCGGTCCAGTACAAGCTTCCATTATAATCAACAAGGCGTATAACTGAAGTCTTCTTTAGAACATCTACAAATAGATCTTAGCAGCAGGTAAATCATCAAGTTATATACTTGGCATC